GCAAAAGCATGTGCAAACAGATGCGCTTACTCCATGTCTTGTCCTAAAGCAAACTCCGCTTTTGTCAGCTCAGCTAGAAGAGGGCAGTCTTTAAGGAGTAGAAACCCCAAGAAAACTACACTTTTTATTTATAGGGAAAGGGCAACAAGTCATCCCTAAAACTCATGCATGAGCATGGTCACCCGTGGGATGTGGTGCGCGCCACCCTGGTTGGGGTAGGTTCCATCTGTGGCCCTAGCACTGAGGCTCCAGGCACAGAGAGCCATCTGCTGTTTTCCCTGATGTGCACAGAACTGCTAAGGCCTGGTCGTGACCCTTGACCAAACAGCTGTTCTCTGGCCAGGCCAAAAACATTTCAAGAACAAGCTCCAAGGTGTGCTATCTGCCTTTGTGGTTGCTGAACTAATGGACAAATGCCTCCAACTGACCAGTGAAATATGAGACAGAAAAGACTCTCCCCACTAGGTCTGCTTTCTTGCTCCGAATTTAAGAAGATTGGGAAGGGGGTAGTGTTAGTGCTTGATTCTCATGGAACTGATCCCGTCTCCTCCTTTCTTGTGCCTTTATCATTCCTTCGTGTCTGGCCAGAAACGGTGCTGAGCTTTGTGGATGACATCATCTCTGGAGCTAAGTCCCCTTGTGCTATGCCCTCTCAGGTGCCAGACAAGCAGCTCACCACCATCTCGCTCATCATACGATGCCTGGAACCAGACACTATCTACATGTGAGTGGCTCATGCCTGCCCACACAGTCCTTGTCCTCAATGTCTGTCGCTGGATCCTGTGTGCTACTGGATTTTCTTGAGAAACTTGGCCTCTATTTAATGTCTCTCAAGTCTTGCTTCAATTGGCATTGTAGGGAACCTTCTGAAGGGTTAGCTTCTGGAGGGGGACAGGATATTCAGTTTGTCAGACCGAATGAAGGTCAGACGGGATGAAATAAATGCAAACAGGAGAGCAAGTAATATGTTGTGGATGAGAAAAGAAAGAAGTGATGAAGTCTAACTAGAAGAGCTGTCTTTTGAATTGAGTAGTGTAGAGCTTCAGCAGGCTGAGGAATGTTGGTAAAAGCACATCCAGCTGAGGAATCAGCGGGACAAAAGGAAAAACTTGAAGGCAAGCAGCAAGTGGCCCAGGGGGGTGCAATAGACAGTGAATGAAAGGCAATGGAAGAAAATGGAACTGGGAAATAGAGCGAATGCACCGAGTCAGAGATCATTAAAGTTCCTTTTTGGAGGAGAGGAGAGGAATATCAGGAATTCGACCTTAAACAAATGGTTCCAGTGGCACTGAGATAGTTTTGAGAGGTTAGAGGTGGTTGGCACTTTCCTTGGAAGAAAGTACAGCAAGTTTCTATGTAGCTAAGCCCTAGAACAGCACTGGTTTTCTTCTTCCCCATTTCTTCCTGTGCTCTGGACAATCATAAAACTTTTTGTGAAGCAAAGACACAAAAGACACCAAAAGAAGCAAGAGAGTCAGAGAATCTAAGCCATGATGGGAAATTCAGAGGAGGAATTTATAGTGATGTAGTTCTGGGACCTGCTGACCCCATCGGGATGAAAAACATTTAACAGTTTACTGAAGAGGTCACAAGAATAGAGTTGAGGTTTCCAGAATAAATCATTTCCATTTCCACAGTTAAAGAGTTCAAAGATGAAAAGCACTAGAAATATGAGTGGCATTGATTGCAAGGTGAACTTAGAAGCTCAAGCTGAGTATCTTCAGCACAGATAAAGGGAGGCAGCAAGGGCTGTGCTGGTGAATTTAGAATTATAAAGACAAATGACATGCGAGAGGAGCTGGAAAATATATGTGGATGTAAATGCTAATTTCAGGACAAAGCAGTTAGTCTAGTTCTGATTCCTATCAAGTCACTTGATACTGGGCAGGTGTACTTCATGAGAGAAGGCAAAAGAAACAAAGATTTGGGACATCTTACCTGCTGTAAGGTCTCAAAATCAGTGAAATTGGAATTATCTTTTATAATAAAGACTCAGTAATTCTTGACACTAAATCACAAGGGTTAATTAGAGATTTCAAAGTTCCTATGGGCATGAGACTGGCAAGGTTTTCTGTTAAAAGTCCCGGCTTTTACCTTCCCTCTTCATGCTGACCTAATTTGACTATGCTTTTGATCAAAGGCTTAAGATTGATACCGTTTCTCACTCCTACGCTCTTTGGTAAACTTCCAGTTTGTCCTCTCATGTCGTGAAAAATTCCAATTTTCTATTAAGTGCGAATTATGGTGAAGCCTGAAGTGGAGGAAAAAGTCTCCACTAGGTGGCACTGCAGTTCACATGAAGAGGCCATAGGAGGGCCGGAGAAAGCTGCCTTTCTGTGGACACGCCATGAAGCCTGACCTTTGGGAAAAGGAGAAGAGTTTTGGGTGCGGAGTTAGGAGCTCAGGGCCCAAGATTGCTTTGTGTGATCTAACCACTAAGTGACTGTAAGCCAGACACTAAAAGTTTCTGCAACTACGTTTTCTTGCCAATAAAATGGAAGGAACAGCCCTCATTTATGTCATGTTTGCCATCTGTGGGTGCTTCAGGGGACCCTGCTGGCCCTGTGAGATTAGGGCTGTTCCACTTTAGAGTGGAAGGAACTGAAGTTCAGCAACCCTGAATAGCTTCCCCAGAGTCCCAGAGCTGGTTTCTGGATGTGGCGGTGGTTAAGAGTTGAGTCAGGTTGTGTGTTTTCTTTCTGTGTCTCACTGCCCAACTATTCAAGTTCTGGATGGGTCTAGTAGCAGGATCCTGTTACCTCACATGAAAAACAGAGTTGGCTCTTCACCTGGGCACGACAGAGTTCCTTGTCTCTGGCTTAGGCCTCTTTTTTCATGTATTTGAAAAATATGCTAAAACGTGGAAAAGGGTGTCTAGTCCACATCTTCATTTAGCAAATGAGGAAACTGAGGCCAGAGTGAGAGGTGACCCCCCCAGCTGACCCCCACCATGCCCTGATCACAGCGCAGACTCAGAGGAGAGCCACTGCCGTTCTGGCATATTACAGCAGATTGATAATTCAGAAGACCATCAGGTTAGAGCATTCAGCAGAAATTGTCATACCTGGAAGGGGAGGGCCTGAAGTAGCAAAGACAGTTGTCTTGGATAGGATCCCAAGAATATTCCACACACATCCAGTCTCAGGTCTTTATGACCCCATCCCAGGAGCCAAAGCCAGGTCATGTTGGCACACACACACACACACACACACACACACACCACTAATATACACACATCACATATATTATACAATACATACCACACACACCACATACCACACACTATACACAGCACAATATATACGCTACACATAGCACACACGGTACACATCATATACTACACATATCACAATAGACACAGTACACATATCACACATATGTACCACATACATTTCACAATCATACATACCACACCCTATACACTACACACACACTACACATACCCCACATCCCACACACACTATATGCTACATACATCCCACACCCCACACAGTAAACACTTCAACATGCACTATACATTGCACACATACCACACACTACACACAGCACACATACTATACACCCATCATAATATACACACCACACATCTTTCACAACCACACACACTACACATAATGCGTCTACTATACACCACAGATATATACTGCACACACATTACAGACTATATTCACCCACACCCCATACACTATATGTGTCACGAACACACTATATACACTACACACATTATGACACGCCACACACTAACCACACCACATGTACCACACACTCCACACAGCACACACACACACACACACACAACATATGATTTTCATGTTGTCATGGGCACCAACTGCAGGCTGAACCATCCCAGCCAGAGGCAGTGGAGAGGGCCGGAAGCTTGGGGTAAGGCAGTAACTGTACTTACGCATTAGCCCTTGGCCAGGGAGTAGGGCTTATCTCTTCTGCCCAGTAATTCCAGCTAACCCTTTTACTGTCCTGCGAGCATTCAATGGTGGAAGTGATAAATGCTAACAATAACCAGAGAAGGCCTTCCTGGAATGACTGTGGCATTTCCAGTGAAAGTGTGGGACATACTTTTGGCCTTTCACATGCTAAGCAGTGGCTCCTTCAGCACCCTCCACCCAGAGGGAGCCAAGACGGCTAGGAACAGCTCTTAAGTCAAGCCGTCGTCTCTACTTCGAAGGCTGTAGAGAGCAATACCTTTCTTAATACATTGTTTGCTATTGAAGAGAGTTGGCACTCAGGAACTTAACTTTCATACTAATTTTCCCATTAGAAGAATATGAGAATTAATTTAAGCATGGATATTTTCATGTCAGTTTAGGCTCCTCTAGAGTTAGTGCAATTTACAGCAAAAAAGGGGGCACAAACTGCCTATAGACATGGGGTGAGGATTAGAGCTCTTGCAGGTGCTCAGAGAAGGTCCAACTGACAGACAATTGAGTACTGTGGATGAGAACATTTCCCATCAAGGTTCAGGGAAGCCTCTAGAAACTCAGAATCCACAATTAAATAATGGTGGGCTACAGAAGATGGCTGGAAGTGACCTTAGATAGTTGAGCTCAGGTGCTCCTTACACACACAGGCAGGCAGCATTACTTTGTCTCTGAACAGGTAGCAAGGCTCCTGCCATGACCTTGAGTTCCAAGGTCATGGACACATGGATAGAACCTTTCAAGATGGAGCCACAAGGGAGAGGCACAGGCCTACTGGATGCAGCCACTGAGATCAAGACAGGGACTCGGGGACTCGGGAGTGTGGGCTAAATACAAGGCTGGGAGGAGAGCGGGTGGGGGAGCAAGAAGAGAGCCCAGAGGTGAGTACTGGGAACAGGGCTGGGTTTGGGCTGGTAGCCATATGCCCTCGCTGGTCCTAGGGCATCACCTGGGGGGACAGCAGGCCTGTTGACCCTGGTAAGAATGACCACTGAGGACGACAACAAAGAGCAGTGACCCCCTCTGACTAGAGGTGGACACCTATACATTAGGGGTGCTTTGTTGGGCTGGCCAGGATGCCAGGAACAATATGAGTGAGGCTTGTCAGACAGCGTCATGGGGCACACTTCCTCCCTCCCCCCTGGCACTCTTGCCTATGCTATGGGCTTTTGGGGGAGAGTGGGCAGGGAGGTGAGAGAGAACTTTGGCATGTTTCAGAAACTCAGACCATGAGGCACAGGTCAGCAATCTACCCTGGCTGCTTCTGGGCCCAGCTCTGAGAAACTTAGTACAAGAAGGTCTAGAGCAGGAGGGCAGAGGAGGGAGTTGAGGCTGCCTGAGAGGGAGTTTGGGGACAAGACTGGACATAGAGCATGTGCCAAACAGGGTGGGTCAGGTGAAACAACTTTCAGTTAGTTGGCCTCAGTGATAACTCTAGAAATAGAACCAAGAGGCTGACAGGTATTGTGAGTCAAACGCTGGGAGATTCTGCTGACTGCCCTTGCTAGGGATTCAATTGGGCCAGTGTGGACAGGGGATGAGGAGCCCACTAAGGAGGGAGAGATGGCAGGGCAAGAAGTGTGATAGGCCCCTACATCCCAGATCGGGATAGTTTCTAGGGAAGGGGGTACATCTGAACTAAGGAGCAAGGCCCAACGCCCAGGCCAGTGGAGCAGACTCAGCTCTGTGTGACAGGAAGGGAACAGGGGGCTTCTGGTCCCAGTCGGAGGGACAGCAGGAAGGTTGGGCAGCCTGTGGGAGTCCACAGGGTGTCTGGGCTGCATGCTCTTCACCCAGGCAGGCCCTCCTCCTCCATGTGCCCCCAACAGGGTTCTCTGAGCTGGGCTGCTGTCTCAGTGAGGCCCTGGTGAGTCCAGCACGAGGACTTGTAGAGGGCAGAGGGGGGTAGATGGGTCCTGGACACACATGTTCTTCTCCAGGAAGTGGGAGATTCAGTTGCCTTTTCTCGGCTAAGAAAAACACTAATTTTCTGCCAGAGTCTTAGGCAACTTCCCCTTCTTTCCTACCTCACCTGATCAGCTGTGTAAGGCCCGACAGCTTTTCCCTGGTTTCTTGTTTCAGGGTCTCTTCCTCTCAACATCTTTTCCTCCTTGTAACTCTGCCCAGAGGAAAGACCATCCCAGCCACCCACTTCTCCACACCCCGCAACTGGGCAACTCAGTAGCAGAGAGGCATAGGGGCAGGGCTGATTCACTTTAGATTCATTCAGCTACTTCGCCAAGTGTTGCATTGGGCAACACCACATTGACCAAAGAAACGGGAGTCATGGAGCAAGCTACATAAGGCAGGATGCTGCCGAAGAGCAAGATCCTGGCCTTTTTATTGGTGGACCAGTCATACAGCATTAATCATGTGAGGAAGTGAAAAAGAAAGGGAAAATTAGAAGAAGCTGGGCAAAAGGTGGAACTGTACAGTTTGGTATGTAGAACAGCCCTGACTTTTCCGGTCAGGATTTCAATCTTATCAATAAGGCATGCCTCTGATCAGCTTCTGGGGTCCTTCATTATACATCAGTCAACAGTTCCCCAGGCGTTCCCAGTCATACCTCGTGATGTATAAGTCAGGAGTAAGATGAATCAGTCCTCAGCCCCCCGGGCATTCCCAGTCATATCTCGTGATGCAGACCCTTCCCAGGATGATCTAGCTTTATGCTCTTAATTGATGTGAAAAGTGCCTCATAGGGTTGGGTTCTAAAAATGGAGGCTGGATAAGCCACCTATGATTAGCAGACCCAAGGCCCTGGGCGTGGACACCCATGCTCTGCACATGGGCCTATCCAAATTTGGGGGTGCCACTCTGTGCAGCACCATCACTCAAGGAGAGGTTGGGTAGGGGGAGGTTCAGATTCAGTCTTTGGGCTACCAGGTCTACACTCTTTTCCTGAAGACTCTTCTAACCATGTCTGCTCCTCCTCAGGATTGGGGATTGGTAGTGTTTCCTCACTGGCCCCTGGTCCTCAGGCCACATGTAGGAATTAGGGCCACAGCTGCAAGCAGGATAGGACCCCTCAACTTCACCTACTTCATTTTCGCGTCTATAATAGAAAATCGTCCTCATTCCTTTGCATGAAAGGGTCAGCTGATCACAAGGCAGAACAGAAATAAATTAATATGATTTATGTTTTATCTCTGGACCCCAGGTACTCTGCCAGGGGTCTCTGTACATAATTTTATTTCCTCTTCATAATGAGCTAAAGGAGTTTTATTATCAGCCCCACTTCGCAGGAGACTAAAGCTCCAAGGAGTTATCTATACTAGAACTATACTTGCTCCATGCTATGGTCACATAACATGTGACCATATTGGATAATTCCACATAGCAGGAGTGGAGATTCAGGCCCAACCCTGTTCATCTCCATTAACACTTGTTTTTTCCCTCAGCTCAGTGGTTTTCAAAAGCGGACAGACATCAAAATCACCTGGAGGCTTGTAACTCATTCCCTATCCCCCTCTCTGGGGTCTTTGCTCTGAGAGGGAGCTTGAGGACATCCATAGTGGTCAAGCACCCAGGTGATGCTGCTAATGATGATCTGGGTGCCCCACTGTGAAAACCACTGTTTGATGTCATGACACTTCCCATCATATTCTATACCCAAAGCAGCAAATCACAATTCACAAGCACCACATGCAGGATGCAGTGAGAAGCTCCTGACGGCACATATTTGACCTTGGTAGGAGCGCCTGGAGGTCATGAGAACTGCCAGGAGCGAACCTGCCCTTAGGGCAAAGCTTGACTGTTAGCCAGGCTAGGAGCTTTCTGATAAAGATGCCTCCCTCTGACCAGGTTCACCCTGTGGGGCGTGGACAACACCGGACGACGCTCCAGGCCGAGTGACGTGATTGTGAAGACTCCTTGCCCTGTGGTGGATGATGTCAAAGCCCAAGGTAAGAGGCCAGAGGGTTCAGGGACCTTCCTTCATCTTGAGAAAAGGGGGAACAAGAAGGTCAAATGGACTACTGCAGTTCAGCAGGAAAGGAGGAATTGAAGGCCCAGCATGGGAACATTGCCTTTTCGCCGTCACCCCTCAACCCCTGCCTCCAGTGGGTATCCTCACTGTTTCTGTTATTTCACATAGTCCATGAGTCAGGGAGCTGGCAGGAGACTCCTGAGGGCCTTAGGCACAGATGGTCATGTCCTAGGTGCCCTCGGGATGCCAATCTAGCCCCTAACTCCCTTTATAAAGATTATTGTGGACCCTCCCTGGTGGTGGAACAGGTTAAAAGTGCAGCACTGCGAAACTAATTGCAGCCACTTCAGCTCAAGTTTGATCCCCGGCCAGGATGCTGACCCACATGACACAGCAGACCTCTCCTGTTTCTCCGCTGCTCCCCTCAACAGTATACTGCATGATCGGCCTGTTCTGCTCCTCACTCAGTCTCTGGTGAATCCTCTCACCCCCTGAACCTCTGGCCTGTACCCCAGTTCTGTACAAATAAATAAGTAAATAAATCTTAAAGAAAAGATTATTGTGATTAAAGCATTAAAAGGCTACAGAGTTGTAATTAATGCTTTAACACTCCTCCCCTCTTACAAAAAGTGTCAAAATCCTTCTCATATTTTAGAATTATCATGGAACCATTCTTTGGTAAAGAATGGTTCCTTTTCTGTACACCACCTTCAGAATTTGTCTTTCTCAACTAGGTAATGTTTGCCTTGACTCAACATCTGATGCAGAAACAGCTCTTTTTGGGTGATCCCCTTGCACTCACGATGCTCCCTGTTTGGGTCTGACGTCTTCCCTTGCTTTGAGACAGCTTCCATATCCCTTCCATAACCAGAATTTGTCCTGGGTGTCTCTTCTACAGGGCTCCCATACTAATCAAAGGAATCTGATCAGCTCCTAATATCTACACAGTAGAAGTGAATTGGCAGCATTTTTACATTAAGGGAGATATTGACCGATGCTAGAATTTTAGGTTGTATGAGCTTCAATAGGAGAAACTTGCTGATTCAACTTCTGTGTGTTTCCTGACTCCAGTTGTATCAGGCTGACCACAGAGAACACAAATCCCACAATGCTCAAGGGGTGACACATGATGATATGAAATCACAGAGGGAAGAATCTGGAGACCCATGTACATTAAAATCTTTGGTACTCAAGCCCTTGGCAACTTCTGAAAGGATTTTCACATCTGTTGCCTTACTTAATATACATGGCATATTGAGGACACTTGTAATTAAAGAAATATGACCATATTATGACCATTCTTGGAATTTCAGAATGGATTGCCATTCCTCTTGTGACAAAGATCAAACATTTGACAGAGTTAGGACCTAAGTGGAGTGGTCCCTGCCCACTTCTCCAGTGTCTTCTTGTCTGCTCTCCCTATCTATCTTTGTATTTCAGCCTCACTATCTTTCTCAATTCCTCAGCACACCATTTCTATTTCCTCCACAGGGCCTTTGCACATGTTCTCATGACTTCAAATGTTCTCCATGTTCAGCCCTATAAGCCCATTAATTCCTTTCATTCTACGGATCTCAGACCAAGTACCCCTTTCTCAGGGCAGGAGTCAATGTCATTGCTAGATGTCCTTATGGTACATGCTTCTTTTCTTTAGGACGTGCATCTCTATTATTGTAATAGAGAATGTGAATATTAAAAGCCCACTATAGTCCTAATGCCTGAAATTCAGCGTGGTGACTGGTCACAGAAAAACTTAGACCACCCAGCATCAAAGTCCTGCTCTACCATCTAACTACTTGACCTTGAGCAGGTGACTTCACTTCATGCCTCAGTTTACTAACCTGTAATATGAGAAGAGAGAGATAATATACCCTAGCTAATGAATGTCTGGTGAAAATAAAATGAGTGTTTGTCAAAAGTACTTCTTAAGTTCCTTTTCCATAGTGTTCTGCAAATGTTAGGAAGGCCCCTTCTGGTCAATCTAATAAACTGAAGCCAGGAGCCATAAATAAAGTTACCTGAAAGCTATCAACAAATCAGCTTGGCCACAATATTGCCATATTGAAACTTGCTCAACCAAATTTTGGCATTTGTCACTGTTTCTCTTAGAATGTGAGTGCTATAATTAATCATGCACTCTGTCTGCTCTCTAATAGGAACTCAATAGGTATTTGCTGAGTGACTAGACTATTACCCCATTTTACAGATGCATAAATTGAGTTTGACATAGAATAAATGAGCTAACCAGGATGACCAAGCTAGTATTTAACAGAACAAACACACAGACTCATTATTTGAAACCAATTCCCATTTTGCATATAGTATTAAATTAGACATTTAGAGGGCAGTTATGTAAAAGACTGAAACCTTTGTCTCTGAATATAATAAAGATTCATATTTTTTAAGAGTGCTTAAATTGGATAGAAAAATATGTCTCCTTTCTGGATTATCATGTCCTCTGAACTGTTACCAGAGAGTAGAGATCTTTAAGTGTGAGACAGCTGTGCTTCTCGCTGGAAAGTGCTGTCTGACAGAGGGTATAAACTGAACGACTTTAGAAGATCTCTGCAATTTCTTGATGGTGAAAGCAGAGTCTGGTTTGAGAATCTCCAGATGAGACAGTTATCTGCAGAGGACCCATAACCATTATTTCATTGTGTGTTGGTTTCCAAGCTAGAGAGGTGCCTCTTCTAGTCTGTTTTGGAAAATTTGCAGATGTTCTAGCAGTAGACACCTTCAACTTGCTTGCAGGCTGGTGGGGTGTCAGATATGCTATTAGCAGGTAGGAGGGATGCAGCGTGGTGATGCTACCTACTGGAATAGATGTTTGGAAAGCAGCTCTGGCATAAAGAGCAAGCAAAGTATAAAACTTGGCCTGGGGAACACTATATTATTTCTCTATGGGGTTCCTTTGGGTCAACTCAGGTCCCCAAAGTACTAAGTTGTGCTTCTGCTCACCGCACTCCCTGACAAAGAGTGATTCTGACATCCCAGTGGACTAGCTGGGAGCGCAAGTGGCAATTTAATGCTGAGAGAATGAACTAATATTTCCAAGTCCTGTTATCTTTCAGCCAAGAAAGAGTCCTCTCCAGGGCAAGTGTGCAGATTAATTAATTAGACTAATTGAGGGTATCCTTGCAAATTAATACTGTGCTGGCCATTCCGCCCCAAAAAACCAAAAAACACGTATGCTTTGCTTCCTTCAAACCCAGATGGTGATCATAAATTTAAGTCAGTTGGGTCTAAGTTTAAATCTAATAGCAAAGGGGAATCACCTTTTAAATGATCTCGAACATGATTCAACAGGAAGACAGTGTCTAGTCCTTATAGTTATGTTTTTCGTCACCTAGACATTTTCATGAAGAATTTTACCACCTCATGGCACTAAAATAGGTGTGTAAGTTTCTACAATATTTTACTGACCCACCTCCCCAGTAAGTACAATTAGTGTTAGTACTAAGATCAACTTTTTTTTTTATCTTATCTCCTCCAGGAGAAACCAACAGTCTGTTCTTGAACCTGTTTTTCACAGAGCAGCATGTGGAAAACTCATTTTTATTATTGTCCTCTCCCCTCACTCACCTTATTGCATGGCTTATTTGCTATTTTCAAATATTCTGCCCAGCATAGTCTGGGAGCCCCTGTGCCAGCCTCTCCTCTCCCAGACACGATCTTCCCCAGATAGTCTTGCATGTCCCCTCTTCTCCTCCAATTCTTGGCGCTAATGTCATCTTTCAATAAGACCTACCATGACCTACTGAAAACTGCAACATCCTATCAAGTTCCCCCATTCTTCCTTTTCCTATTTTAGCTTTCCCTACATCCTAATATACTCATTTTATTAACATGCGTATTACTGAATTGATGGTCTCCTCCTACTAGTTTAATAATTCTTTATGGGTGAGAATTTTTTTCAGGGTTTTTCATTGGTATATCCCAGCTGTCTAGAAAAAAATGTCAAACATGTGTTAAGAACTCAGAGGTAATTTTATCGAATGAATGTATTGATGCATGCTTCCTCTCCTTGGTACTATGGTAAAAAAAAAAATGATTGCACATGTACTATCTCTTTTTAGTCTCACAATGATTTTAAAAGGTATATGTCGTTAGCCATCACTGAATGCCATCACAGACAATGAAACGAAGACCCAGAGAAATTAGCCACACAGCAAGAGCACAGGACACTTGCTCCACTTGTTGCCATGGTGCCTGTTGGTAACAACACTCCTGACTCCCATGGCCTCAGTCCCAGCCCTGTGCACTCATTTTGCTGCCTGGGTGGCTCTGGTTTCCTTCTAATCACTCAGCTTCCTTTGCTTCTGATGACGTGCATACAGACTCCTAGTGTTCACCTGAATGCCACCTATTTCTGAATAATACGCACGTGAATTACAGGGAAGACAGGCATCTATTTTGGATGATTCAAAATTTCTATAAAGCTGGGTAAAATGAAAACTAATAACACCTTACCTTGTTTTCATTTCCTTGAATTAGTGAATTCTTGAGATGCAATGAAAGCTAATGAAATAATCTTAGTTCTCTCAGTGGAGAGAGGAGCAGCCAGAAATACTCAGGCTGTAGGAGCCTCGTATCTTGATCTTTTTGAATATAGCATCCCATTACTAATGTCGGCTTTTAAGCACACCCTGGAGTTAGATTATCTTGGTTTAGGAGATTTATGATGGAACAGGCCTATCCCATCTGGTCTCAGGCACACACACTGTGGCTAATGGGAAGCATCCGTTCCTCCAGCCGGATATTACTGCGGTGATACGAGAATAGTAAACATGCCAGAAAACACCATCTCAGGCATTACTGCTCCTCAGCAGAGAGTGTCACAACTGGAGCCTGGGACTGGGCTGCTATTTTCCATCACCAAAAATAGAAACAGATTGACATTAGTAAAGGGGTAGGAGAAGAAACCCCAAACATTCCTGTTTGGATTCTGCTCTGATCACTCCCATTTTTTCTCTCCTGGCCATTCTTCTTTCAGTATACTCTCTGTGCCTCCCACCAAGTTTTTAGAATATTCATTCTGTTTCTTTCCATCTCAATTCCAAAAATGAGTCTCCCTGCACATGTACAAGGCTTCCCAATTTTGTGGCACCTATGATCCAACCAGTACAATGCCCTGTACTGGATAAACACCCCAGAACTGTATCCGCCATGGCTGTGCCTCCTGTGCCTTAAATTGGTTAAACACTACCAACCCCTAAGCCTCAGAGCAAAATAATTATAGCAGATAGATGTAGTGTTAAATCTTCTCTATCCTGGGCCCTCCTGGTGGTGCAGCGGGTTAAAGCACAGCACTGAGAATCTAAAGCCGCTTCCGCATGAGCATGAGTTCGATTCCGCATGAGCATGAGTTCGATGCCCCGGAGGTGACCACATGGCGCGGCAGACCTCTCCTGACCCACCCGCTGCTCCCCTTAGCAGTGTACTTCATTGATTTGCCTGTTCTGTTCCCCACTCTGTCTCTGGTGAAGCCTCCCACGGCCCCTGAGCCTCTGGCCTGTACCCCAGTTCTGTATGCACAAAATAAATCTTAAAAAAAAAATCTTCTCTATCCCATACTGGCTATGTAGCCTTGGGCAAGTAAACTGGCCTGTCTCTGAATATCATGGTTTATAGAACAGGGACATCATACCCACCTTGCAGGGCTGGTGTGAGGACTGGTGTACACACAGGTGAAGTTCTTGACAATCAGTAGGACTTTAATATATAAATGGGGAACCCATGTATATTTATTTTCTAAATTATTTCCCTCTTTGTCTCTTGATCCTATTTGAATAGCCTAAGAGTTTTAAAATCCTGAAAATCTAAAATTTTAAAAGATTTATTTATGCATACAAGAATTGGGGGGTAGGCCAGAGGTATAGGGGTGAGAGAATTCACCAGAGACAGAATGGGGAGCAGAACAGGGAGATCTAATGAAATACACTGTTGAGGGGAGCAGTGAGTGAGATAGGAGAAGTTGCTGTGCCATGTAGGTCAGCTCCCTGACCAGGGATCAAACTCACATGGCAGTGGCTGCTGATAGCTTGAAAGTGCTGAGACTTTAACTTCTTCACCACTTGGGAGGCCCCAATCCTGAAAATCTAAATGGATATCTGAAATGAAATTATTTTATTGTATTTTATTATTTTTTAAGATTTATTTATTTATGCATACAGAGCTGGGGTATAGACCAGAGGGGCAGGGACAGTGAGAGAATTCACTAGAGGCAAAGTGGGGACCAGAACAGGCAGATCAAATCAATGAAATACACTGCTGAGGGGAGCAGCAGATGGGTCAGGAAGGTCTGCCGCGCCATGTGGGTCACCTCCCTGAGCAGGGATCGAACTCTTGTTGAAGCGGCTTCCGTGAACTTTATGGTGCTCTACTGTAACCTGTTGTACCACCAGGGAGGGCCCTGAAATTATTTTTAATGCCACTACAATAGCCAGCATATGAGAGTTGGGTTGCTAAAAGACTGAGATTGCCTGATGTGGGAGATATCACCGAGAGTTCTCCAAGAGTAGATTCAAATTGCTCCCAAAGTCAGGAATTCCACTGATGTAGCTGGCTAACAGTCTATGATCAATGTACTGTGCTTTCTGTGAGTTACTCTGCACATAAGGGAGTCAGGTCCGCCTGCCATCCCCATGGGCGATGGGCCGGGAAGAAAAGGAAAGAAACTGCAATGTCTTGGGCAAAAGGTAGAAACTGTATTCATTCCAATCCAGGAAACTTCTCCAATGATGACTTTTGTCATTTCCAGCAGCCATGAATTCACTTAGAGTTATGACAAGGGTGTTGAGTGAGAAAAGTTCTGATTGACGAGTTTGTAGACTTAGCTTCTCCTTCCGCAGATTTGACACTGAGTGGGAGAAAAAGTGTTGCTGTCCAGGTCTCTGTTCCCAGATACTTAGGTAGGAAAAGTAAACAGGTCTCCTGAGAGGTTTAATGAGAAAATCTCTAATGATAAACTGCTTCTGAGGCCTGTAGAGGGAAATGCCAAGGCAATACAAATGTCACCATTTTGCCACATCACCAAGTTCTGTCTTGGAATGTATGATTGGAGGCAGAAATGTAAAAGATATAAATTAAGCCCAGATATTACTTATTTGGATCTGCAGAATGGATGCTAAATTCAATTTGTGTGTCACCTCAGATCTGCAAGCTGAGCTTCTGAGCTCTCTTGTCCAACCTAGCAAAACCTCTGCAATGCCTAAAATCTTGGGACCAGCTTGCTTTTGGTACTGTGGCCACTCCAGGCCACTCCACACAAAGCGTCATCTCACTTCATTTCTGAGCCAAATGCCTGCCCCTGCTGCCCATATTGCTTTTGTAGGACCCACTTAGTACACCCAAGTGTATGTGATCTAGAAGTGCAAGAGTGTGAATGACTCGGGGCAAACATAAGACATCCCATGGAGCAATAATGAGTGGGAGCTGGAGAGGAAGTCTTCCATTCTCCTCCTGGATGGACAGGGGATATCCAGTGGCTTCACTCATCTCCTCCCAAGAAATATAGCTTCCAACACCGTAATACACACCCTTACATGTACCCTCCCTCCTTTCTTGCTTCCTTTCCTTCTGTCCTACCTTCTGCATCTTGGGATTACACTTGAGAAGAAAATAGTACTCTGTGAGTTTTGCTTCAGGCTCTGTATTTTCAGGAAACAGGGGTTTTCAAATATTTCAACATTTTTTTTAAAGATTTATTTATTTGTGCATACAGAACTGGGGTACAGGCCAGAGGCTCAGGGGCGGCAAGAGGCTTCACCAGAGACAGAGTGGGGAGCAGAACAGGCATATCGAGGAAGTACACTGCTGAGGGGAGCAGCAGGCACGTCAGGAGAGGTCTGCCGCGCCATGTGGGTTACCTCTAGGGCAGGCGGAAATCGAACTCATGCGGAAGTGGCTTTAGCTTCTCAGTGCTGTGCTTTAATCCGCTGTGCCACAAGGGAAGGCCTATTTCAACATATTTTAACTGAAAGTGACCTTAGAGATATTCTGTTCAAAAGCTTTCATTTTATAGAAGTAAATTCTGAAAACTATGGGGCAGAGGTAAAATGAATGACTCAAACCACTTTCTCCAGGTTCTAGGTTCAGTATTCGTTGAGTAATGTCACATGCATACAAGTGTCCATACATCTTGTCTGTGCTATCTGTATGATCACTTATATGGGTGTCTATGTACCAAGCTTGCCAATATGTGTTTGTGTGCGTATATATAATCTTATTTGTCTTTTCTGACTTTCTCAGAAATAGCAGACAAGATCTACAATCTCTTCAATGGCTACACCAGTGGGAAGGAACAACAGACAGCCTACAACACCCTTCTGGACCTCGGTTCTCCCACCCTTCATCGAGTCCTCTATCACTACAACCAGCATTATGAGAGTTTTGGAGAATTCACTTGGCGATGTGAGGATGAACTAGGCCCTAGGTAATCAATAAATTTCATCATCTCTTTTAAAGACCTAAGTGTAGCTCTTATACTATAATACCACATCTATGAATTTGCCAACTTTTCTTGTCTGAATTTAGGTGTTTGGAGAAGTAAGTCTTGTGCTTTCAGGCAGCTTCATTCATCCATATTAGCTGAAGACAAGTTGCATATAAGTAATCAAGCCACGGATGCATTTCTGGAACTCTGAAAAAAACCCTTTGCTCTTGATTTATCTTACCCCCCTTCCTCCTCCCCCCATACCCCTATCATGCTGACACAGCATTCCAAATGCTAAAATGGTAGAAACAAAATCTTACTCTTGTGAAAGAAAATTAGGAATTTTAATGAAAAAGTTACCCGAAAGTACTTACTGTGTATGAGCTTCGTATATGATATATTCATCAATCAGACATCGTTTGAGTGAAATTCCACATCCTCATGAAAATCAGCACAGAAGTAACATTTCACCTTGACAGGTGTCCTGTTACCTTTCCCTGATCTGAGGTTGACCTTCTTATACTCAATACTCACTGCTTTGAGGCACCACCTGAAAGACTCCTCAGAAAGAGAAGAACGGGAAGAATAGGCAGGACAATCAGGGTTTTTGTTTGTTTGTTTGTTTGTTTTATCATGACTTTAATTGCTGCTTTCAGAAATTAAATATTGCTGAATGTTTAGGTACACATGGTAAGAGGCTTTTCACATGGAAGCATGTGGTCTGAGGTTGAAGGCTTTGAGAACAACATTGGTTACATTGCCACTAACTGAAAATGTAGAAGGCCACAGACTCTGAATTGGTGAAGGACAAGTCCAGATTTATTAATGTTTTTATTTAAAAGTGAGCAGTGAATGTAACTACAAAGCCCTCATGGGTGATTAAATCCATGTGCTTGAAATGATGACTGAGGTGTTTCCTTCATCCACTTCTTGAAGATGATGCAGATACTGCCTCTCACCCCCAATCTCCCCCTACCTCTGCCTTCTAAGATTTGTCAGTAACTCATGACATGCAGCCAGGCAGCTTAAAAGGGAGGGCCACCAACTTCCCTGCTGATGACGACTTTTGGAAAGCCTGCTTGGCCAAGCTGCAGAGGCTGTTAGGCAGAAGGAGACCATCTGGAATAGATGCTATTTAGTCAGCTGGGAGAGTGTTGGTTTGATTTCCTGGGACCCACAGTGGAAGTTGGAGAAAATACCAGTGTGCCTCTCCCTGGACCTCACACTCTCTTAGACTTTTTGTCCTAAGACTCCTTTCCCCCTCCACCTCTCCACCCCCACTCTTAGTATGCCCTCCTAGGAATGTGGTGACCTCACCTTTGTGATGGGTATCCCCAGGACAGAAGACAAGAAATGTAATGAATATGTTTTTGTTCTTTGAAGGCTCTACACAGAAGGTTCTACACAGGGTGTGGATTCATCCAGTTTCTGGAAGGAATTGCTGATGACACCAGAAAAGAGATGGCTCCTCACACAATAAAATAGCCTAGCAGTTGATAAATGCTGCAAGGAGTTACTGTTCATAGAACTTTACAGATTAGCATTTTCCAGACTCGCATGAGCTTGAGCAAAATCAAAGAATCTTCCTTTACAACTCCCTGGTCACTTAGGTATTTGAAGCATGAGAGGAATCCAGTGAGAAAAGGACCCCTGTCCCTTTACTACTTGATGTTTTCAGAGTCCAAGCTAGTAGGGTCTAAGAACTGACAATGAGGTAGTCCTTATTGCCGACGCTGGAAATGGGCACCAAACCTATGCATCAGTGAGACCTTCGTGACAACCCCCTTCCTAGTGCCACACAGAGGCCACCAGTGTCTAGTCTTGGCCCATACTCCTTCCCAGAGAGTGTGGACTTGGGGCAATGTTGTTTTCCTCTGCCCCTTCCTCTCTCAGGGATCTGCAACACCTCTGGCGCCATCTCAACCCCTCTTTTCTATACTTTTGATCGCAGTCCAATGAGAATGGCCTTCTGGTTTTCTTGGGGAGCTGATTAAGTGATATAACCATTGCATCTTCATTTTTTCAAAGAATGAACCTGTGTCAACATGAGGAATTCTTTACCTTCTTTACACTAGAATTATCTCCACATAGGCATCATTGGTCACATTTGATAGTCCCTGAAATTCAGTACATTGGCTGCCTCTACTCAATTCAGAAGTAACCTTGAAAAGGGAAATATTTAGTCAAACACAACACTTGTCATTTAGTGATGACAAATTACTGGCTTGAGAGAAAACTTATTTGATTGTCTTTAGACTTGTCATGTCTGTGATTTATTTAAGATTCTAAATTCCCACTAGAATAGTAGCTATATTCTCTTTTTTATTTTTCCTTATTGTTTTTTCATCTCTACTTTGTATTAGTACCTGCTCCACTTTATACATCATTCCCATTCCTGTACTCATTCATTCACTTGACAAGTGTTTATAGATGGCTCTTTATTCTAAATGCCAACCCTGGAACAATCAGCAAGACACACCAGGCTTTCCCCTCCTGGAATTTAATGCGTCATCTAACCAGAGCGTTTTGTCCTTCTCCTTTTTCTAATGTGAACATCCTCCATGTTTGACACTTAGGAAAGCTGGCCTCATCCTCTCCCAGCTTGGGGACCTCAGCAACTGGTGCAATGGACTGCTTCAGGAACCCAAGATCAGCTTGCGACGCGGCTCCCTCAAGTACCTGGGCTGCCGCTACAGCGAGATTAAGCCCTACGGACTCGACTGGTCAGAGCTCAGCCGGGACCTCAGGAAGACCTGTGAGGAACAGACCCTGAGTGTCCCCTACAATGATTATGGGGACAGCAAAGACATCTAGTGCCATGATGCCCAAGGGTGGCTGCTAAAAGGAAGCAAGAGAGATGGGGGGGGGGGGCATCTGGGATTTTGTGTGATTTTTTAATATTTTTAATGGAACATTAAAACCTCAGCAGACAACATCTAAACCAGGGAGGAGGTGACCCCTACTCCCCACTGAACTCCTTCAGTGTGATGTTCTCCATCTGCATGACCAGTAGATCCCACCCTCATCCAGCAGTTTCACGCAGCGCCATTTCTCTTTGGGGTTTGTTTTGTAGTTGATTTATTTAGTTCATTTTTCCCCAAGAGTTTCATCAGAATGTTTGAATGTTGTGTCAAGCTTCTCATGAAAGCTCCATGATGTTGAGCCACCCTGGGCTCATTGGGTTTTGAGTCCATTACATCTAGGACAAAGATGAGACCAGAAAGTTGTTAGACCAGCCTCAGTCCCCAACCCCAGGCAACACTCAAGAAGCAATTCACTCTGGGCTCTGAAATCCTGTTCACAGAGAAAGACAAGAGAACGGAGCCTGGTCCGTGAGTCTCGTGAATCCCTCCAGACCTTTCTATTGTCTTCTCACCTTACAGATGCACCTAGCATGAGGGTGAGAGGAGCTCCTAGATTTTCAGGTCTCCCCCTCTTAAGACAGGACTGGAATCAAATGTTCTTCCATCAGATCTCTATCCTCTCCTCGATGTCATCTTTTTAGAGACAAACTGTCAAACACACTTAAAAGAAGACTGCCTGGGAGACTAGTTGACAGTCCACATTCTAGAAAAGAAGAGGCATTCTTTGTTTTATGAAACACTGGTGCCTCCCAGGTGAACTTCTCCAGACCACTCTGTAGGTCACGTGCCTGGATGCTTTGTAGTTCCCCTTCTGCTTCACCTGGACAGGTAAGGCGTGGTTGATGTCTGCTTTGCTCCAGGTGGGGGTCAGTACTCCCTGTAAGTGTTTTAGAGAAGTAAAGTCATCACTCATCGTAAGTTCCCTTCTTCCCACTCCCCCTTGCTAAATTTTCTTAATTATGTTGCTGATTTTACAGTCATCTCTCTAGATAACCACCCGCAGAAGGAAGCCTCCATCTAATTGTTGAGAGTAACAGAGCTTTTGTGCAGGAAAATTCCACTGACCACAGTCAGGGTCCAGTTATGCTTTCTGACCCCTGCCCAAAACTTGGCACCAGCGCAAGTGGGGACAGGGCTGCTAAGAAGCCCAGGCTTTCAGAAGGGGACTCCCAGACTTGGGGACCAGCAATGGCCTTAGCTTTCCCCTACATACCTCAGAGCCTGAACACATACTTTCAGCCACCTCAGCTTTGATCTGGGCTCCTCATTTGGAAAACGTGAGAAAGGTCAGGAAGAAGATGCAGGATCTATGAGGTCAGTCGCTACAGTCTACTGAGTTGCCTTTCTATAATAATTATAGCAAGTTCATTGTTTATCATGTGCCAGGCCTTCATTAGCATTTCCTGAATATCACTTAACTCTCCCCACACAGGAAAGTGCTGTCTTTGATTCCACTTTAGTGATGGGAAGACAAAGGGAAAGTCAACTCTTCATTTACTCTTGCTTGACCTACAGCCTGCCAGACTGTCCAAAGATTTTAATTCCTCTGCCATCCTTATGATTGCCCACAGGATTGTCGTGGCTGGCAGCTGTCTGAGCACTAAGCTGCACAGAGGATCTGCCCACAGGGCCTTCCCTTTGCAGGCTCCCAGTGCAGATGTACCCACGAGGTGGTGGGAGGGCGAGCTCAAGTGCCCCCTTAACTTCTGCAGAGAGCATGCCCTTTGGGACCACCACGTCTGCAGCCAAGGCTTGAACCTCAGAGCCTGGGCAGAGCCTGGGGCAGGGCTGTGGGCACAGGAAGCTCTCATCCCCTGTGGGGTCCCTTCCTAGAAAAATGTAAGGCTTATTTCACATTGTGGATTCCATCAGCCTGAGAGATGGCCCCATTCCTGAGCAAAGGCTGCAGAAAGCTCTGCACCATGACTGAGGCAGAGTCTCAGGGGAAATGCCTCGAGGAACAAGGTTCTCATCATTTGTCAACCCACAGAGGGGAGGATGCTACGGGATTCCAACCACCCACGGGCCAGGGGCTGTGGAGGGCTGTGTTTTACCAGCACTGCTGCCTCACTGAACTTTTATTCAAATCTCTAAGGAAAGCAGCTTCTAGCAGGGTAGTGGGGTGACACCAAGGACCCCCCTGTCTTCCCACCACCAGGTGGGCCACATGGAGCTGGTGGTCAGGAGCAAGGAAGGAATGACCCCCTTCTTTGTCCCTTCCTTCTGTTGTTACCAAGATAAGAGGCTTGCCATTTCCCCCTCCCTTTCTCTTCTCCTCACGCTCCCATGTCCCCCCTCCTCCTTTCATTTACTCTTTCTCTTCTTCACCTGTGAGGGACCCTTTCTCCCTTGCTCCCTCCTCACCAAGCTTTTTTTTTCTCCTTCCATTTCCCCTCACTGCAAACATGTACACACCCACTGTGTACAACACCACATGACTATGCACGCCACATGATAGTGCATACACAGTGCACACACCACACACAGTGTACACGTGCTACACAGGCATATTAGACACTCTACATACTGCACACACACACATACCGTACACACCTACACTCACACTATACACACACCACATACACACATCCAACACCACACAACTCTACATACACACTTTATACACATACTATATGCACACTGTACACACATGCTATATGTACTGTATGTACACACACGTGCATTGTGTATATGTACTATACACACCACGTGCACACTAACACACTATAATCGCACCACAGACATACTATATAAATTCACTACACATGTTATACCAAAACATGCACACCACATGCATACTCCATATGTGCTACATGTCACACACACACACACACACACACAGATTCACCCAGCCCTATACTTGGGTCCCTTTCATTTCCAAGTTAAAAGTAAGGTGAGTGTGAGTGGGGAAGAAAGACATCTTCAGATTCCCCTAAGGTTTAAGTGTAAAACTCTAGAAGACACCATTGCCCACACCATGGCAATATTCCACAGAGTGTGCCTGGATGAACCCATTTTGACTAGAAAGGGGTGGTGGCACTGGATCAGTATTAAAGCCCAAGCTTCTATTTTACCAAACAAGTCTGAGTCATTTTCGCCCAGCAGCCTCTGACTGTTCCCCCCCCCCCTCCCCCAGCCAGTGCTGGTTCCTCTTGAATGTACGTGACCCACTGCCATAGCATTAGGCCTCTGAGTGTGCAATCAATTTCCATGGAGTCTGGTCCACTCACTTTTATTTAGATAACCCCATTTCTTGATGTTCCAATGTTCTATTAAAAACTGATTATGAAAAGAACCACTTTACTACTGTAGAAGGAAGAGAGAATTTGTGTGACCAACTTCAAGTGTAACAGTATTGTTGAAAAGAGAATTACTGTATGATCACAAAAATGGAATAATCAACTAAGTAATAAACAAAAATGTTAGTAAGGGTTGGTGTGTGGCTGTTACCTGTGTCTTTCAACCATCAGAGTGATCTGCTTGGACCTAACAGAGAGCTCTAAACATTTTCAAATGTTACACTTTAGATGATAAATCTGTGGGCCTTGGAGCCCATCATCCTGACTAGAAAATAAAGTTAAATGCTTCACAGCAGATTATAAACTTATTGTTGTGTAGTAGTGATTCTCACCATCCAGATAACAAGACAGGTGCATTTATTTCTTGTCTGCTACACTACAGACGCTGCAAGGTGAAAAGGAAACGTTGGTGAACAGGATGAGTTTGGTCTCCCTCTGAGAGGGTGGCATTGCAAGGGGACAGTTAGGCAGAACCGACCATTAGGGGGGAAGAGAACTGAGAGTGTACAGCATGCCATACAAGTTTCTAGAATTTACATTTAGGTTATTTAAGAAGCTTATTGCAAAAGGCCCTCTCTGCCACATTCTTGGGTTGCCTTTTCTAGAAGCATTGGACTAGGATGGGCTGGGCATTATGAAGGGCTCCATGGTGGGTAGCCCTAATCACACAATCTCTTTTTTTCTCTCTACCAAGTGACACTAAATAGATGTTCTCTTCTCTGTCACCAACATATGGGATTCCACTATTTTCAGTAAGTAGACATTAAGTGCCAGGCACTTAAGAGCCTCTCTTGAAAAGTCCTGATAAGGGTTGGCATCTGTGTATAAGAAAAGAACAAGAAAAGAAAATGTAGAGTGTGGTAGTTTGAAAACACAGTTATAAATTCTTTGACAACCCTCCCATCTCTAAGTGTGTTCTATTGCATTTCTCCTTGAATCTGGGCAAGTTAAAGACAATTTTCACTAATAGTTTATGATGGAAATGATACTCTGTGACTTCCAAGTGTGTGTCATATAAGTCTTGAGCTTTCTGCCTTTTCTCTGGAACTCTTGTTTCTCATTAAAATTCTAAACTACCACAAAGAAATTTGAGGCCAACTTGCTGCAGGGGTTATAGGTAAGAACTCTGGTCTCTAGTCCCAGCTGAGCCCAGTCTTTGAGACATTCCTGAGACACCAGACACATGGATGTGGTTGTGTTGGGCTTCTAGACTTGTCCCTCTGTAGTGGTCATTATCACCCAGGAACCTCATCAATGTCACATGCTAGAAAGAATCACTTTGCAAAGTCCCTGGATTCCTGACTCCCCCCAAGTGATGAAACCTAATAAAGTGGTTACTGCTGTAAGCCACTGAGAAGGGTCTGATAAACAATGGGCATCTGATTGGGGCCAGCAGTATCTATCTCACCCATCCAGTGCTGGAGCATCAGGTAAACCCTGTCCGGCATGAACTCACCACGAAGAAGAGAGGAAGGTCTATGCTGGCCAGACTACAAGTGCATAACATTGTTCTCTTCGACAAGGTGAGTGGTCTCTGCTTCAACAGAAGGGAGGGAAAACAAGGTTGTAATGCACCATCACCTTCCTTCTGAGAGTGTGTCAGGAACTTAGGTGAAACCCTGGGAAGGCATAATTTTCTGGGGCCAGCAAAAGAAAGAGAAGAGACAACATGATGTGGGACATAGCAGAAATGTGGGAGCAAAGGATTTCTTGCAATTACTTAGTCTGGCCATCCTTTTGCTTTTGGGGTTTCCTGGATATGAGTGTGTAACCCACCATGTGGTGTGGGCACTGTGCTAAAACACTTCAACACCATAATATCCCCCAATCTTCATCTAGTAATTCAGTACTTTCAGGAAAGAGGAAGCAGGGTCTTAAAGACTTTATATAACTTGCCGAAGTTCACAGCAATGTGGAAGTATAGACATTTCAACCAAGGATTATTGGAGTCTGACTGATAAGGGTCTGGCAAGGAAGGGCATTCTACCTAGTATGAGAATCTAGCACAGACTGTGTGTACACACTATATAGCTAATAATCTGTTTTCTTTAAAGTAAAACTCTTTCTTTGAATGGAGATCCCCACCCTGCTGATGCCCCAATGTGTCGACAGCATACCACATCCATCAGACGTCTATCAGCTATACCAGGGTCAAGATAACCAGAGGCTGACAAGTTCTGGGGCCCAGTGTGATGAGTACCAGAAATACCAGCTGTGATGGGCTGTTCTGATGGGTAGTTTGCTTATGACTGTCTTTATGTAGTTCATTAGGAAGGCAGCTCAAATGGGGAGCAGACTGTCAGGGTGCTGTGCTCATCATTCTCTCAGATCAATGGCCAGTGATCTGAAAAATCAAAGCATTTCTAGATTCAATTCCTGTCTTTGCAGATTGGCTTTTTTGGTAAAAAAAAAAAAAAAAAAGCCGGCAGCAGAATCCATGCCTGTTCCCAGTAACATAACCTTATGCTGTCCTGCACTGCCCCTCGGGAGCTTGTCTCCCAGTGAGTTGTTAGAAAGGGGACAGCTCCACTCATTGAGAGTTTTACAAATCTCTGACAACCTGGTTCTCCTATATTAGGCAGTAAGAGAGAATGTGTCTAGATTAGTGCCCACCTATCACCATCGTTAAGCTAACAACTGAGTGTGCATAGCTCTTTTCCAAAAGCCATTCTGTTTGTTCGACTTGGTTTGGGCTTTTTACGAACTCGTTTGCAGGTTTCTAGCAGGGGAGCGCAGCTGCGCGTCGACCCTTCTGTCTCCTTTCGGGGAAGGCCCTCCTCTTCAACCGAGCGTGCAGCTTCGGTAGGGACACACACATGGAGCGGTGAGGGAGGAAGGAGACACCCGCCTAGCCAGCCAGGTCAGCCGAATCAACCCTGGCGATCAATGGGGTGACAGATGTCGCAGCCAGATCGCCCTCACATCCAAGGTTTGGGCTTTTTGGATGCACTCTTGTCTGACCTGGGAGGCTGATGCAGAGCCAAGGAATCATTGCCTGGCCTGCCAGTATAGCAGCCTGGGTGTTCTCTGTTCTTTTGAGCTGTTCTGTGCTCTCTCTGTCTCCACCGTAACACCCAATACTAGAGTGAAGACACAGAGACAGAAGCCACCTGCCCTTCCCAGACAGCGGAGCTTGAAAGTTGATCCAGGAAACCGCCCTGGTGTGGAGCACCTGCTGCCTCCTAGCTGTGCTCCCACCATCAACTAGTATATCCGTGTCATTTCCGCAGAACCCATTAACAAGCGTTTTGTGTCCAATGAAACCTCAATGCCCTACAGAATAGGCTAATGATTTCTCTTGATACACATTGAAATTCTGGATTTGGCTCATGTCTAGACTATTCCAAAGTGAGAATAAAAACACAGAACCTCTTTGTTCCAGAACTCAGCTGTGTGTGCTGTAATTGGGCTGACTTCCAGTGGGGTGGACAGGATCTGATATTATAATTATTCACCTAACTGCCTTTTGCGAGGGTCTGTGATCCACAGGGTACAAATTAGGGTAGTTGATTCCTTGTTACCTTTCCCAGTAGAATAACCACAGCCATGTTCCATACTAAGAGTGAGAAGCAGCATTTTTTGTTTGAAAAGATTCAAATATCAAAGTGACCTTGATTCTGAGGTTCTTGCTGTCAATGAGTCAGGAGTGACTTCTCCTACTTACCAAGTTTGGGATGAAACCACACCCGTCGCCTACCCCTCCCCCCATCAAATCTTTGTGATGCCAAAAGACTAAGTGCCTATGGCTAAAATGAAGATAGCACCATTTTGCCCCAGGACTGCTGAATGTTTGACAGTAAGGCACCTCTTCCTCCAAAGCCTTTGTTCTCAGATTTGTTTCCCAGCCTTCTCCTGCTCTAGTGTCACACACAGCTGACTCATGCCAGCTATGCCTTCTTAATCTCCTTGTCAAACAGGCTGTCCTCTGCAGTGGGGCTGGGGGAGGCTTCTTGTGCAGTTGCAGGCAGCTGTTTTGCTCCGTCAGGTGGCTTCAATCCCAAGCTGCCCTAACACCGTGCGCTCTGTCGCAGCAGGATCTGCTTCCTGCTACTGCTCATAACAGGTTGCCTATGAGTCTCTCAAGTCCTTTTTGATATTCCAAAGCTTTTCTAATTGATTTCCCATTTTGAATTCCCTCTATTGAAATAGCTAGCTAAAATGTGTTCTGCTTGCCCTACAAAGTCTTAGCTAATATGTACTTGAACTGAAAATTACTATACGTTATCTTTCTTAAAAAGATTTATTTATTTATTCATACAGAACTGGGGTACAGGTCACAGGTGCAGGGGCAGTGAGAGGATTTACCAGAGACAGAGTGGGGAACCCATGTTATTTTACATGAGATTTTTGTGACTTCTTAGGGACTGAATGACAATCTGGAAGATGAATATTTGATTCCAATAGTGAAAAAAAAATACATGAATTCTCCCAGGATTGATTATGGAAATTCCAAATAGATTTCCAGCAGAGTGATAAAGTTAATCAAGTGATAGTGGCTGCCTATGACTTGAAAAGGACTTTGAGGATGGATTAGAAATTGGCCCTAATCAGTGGTGAACTCCCTGATCAAAGCCTGACATTGCTATGGGAGTGGTACCAGCAAGATGTGTATGTGAATACATTTGTTAGCCCTATTTTATAGTTACAAAACAGGTATAAAATACCCAAGATCAAGATAATCCAAGGAAGATCTATTTTGTATGCATGATATCATGTGAAGGTAGGTTCATAATGTGTTTAATAATAAAAATAGAGTGAAGACAAAAAGTACTTTATGAGAACGTCCAGTCTCTTTCATACATGATCAATTTTGGAATTGCATTTATGT